TGTTTCCTCTGGTTCATTACTATTTATCATAGCGACAGGAGTAGCGTTCGGATGCTCGCGGCTGCTTCGTTTCCCGCCCGTGTAGTCAGCGAACGGCATGTACCTTAGCTTGCTGAAGGTCCACCACGTGAGCATCCTGCCATGTTGGCCCACTCGGGGTCACCACCTCCGTGCGCTCGTCGGGCCACCACATCTGCAGGCATTGTGCTCGTCGGGCGTACACGTCATCGCACTCATCGAGCTCGAACTGCCGTGTCGAGATTGAGGGAAGTGAAGGGAGGGGAGGGAGAGGAGAGGGCGAGGTGCACCGCACCGCACCGTGTGAACCCAAGCTCGTCCAGCGTGGCATCAAGCTTGGCGTTCCATGCTTGTGGGGCCTACCGTAGGCCGTAGAGCGCCTTACGCAGTCGAAGCACCCTGTGCTTTGCTCCCTTGACGGCGAAACCCGAAGGTTGCCTGACGAAGACCGTCTCCGCCAGCTCACCGTTGAGGAAGGCCAATTTTATGTCCAGGTGATGGACACGCTAGTCCTTCGCTGCTGCCGAAGCCAGCAGCAGTCGGATAGACTCCATGCGTGCTACCAGCGCAAAGACTTCCTCGAAGTCGATGCCCTCGCGCTGGACAAAGCCTCGGGTGACGAGACACCACTTGACCTTGTACACCCACTTCAGGTCGATCGGACGGCATCCTAGAGGTGGATCGACGAGCTCCCAAGTCTCGTTTTCCTCGATCGCCTTCATCTCCTCCGGCATCGCCCGTCGCCAATTTACATCACGCTCGGCCAGCGCAAACATGGGTGGTTCCTCTGCACTAACGAGAAGCAGCTCTGGGTCATTAAGCAGCCAACCCGCCAGGCCTAAGGACCCTGTGCCGCCGATGATGTCGTCCAGCCTATGGAACCGCACCCACGAACTCGGTGATGTCGCTTGGAGGTGAGGAGAACTCGATCGGCGTTGATGGAGTCCCCTGTTACGCCGGAGTGGTCGGCACAGCACCTAGAGTGCTCGGCACCCCAGCTGCAATGCTTGGTACTACTCCTGGACCGCTCATCACCACTCCTGGAGTGGTTGGCACCACTGCAGGAGTGCTCGATGTCGATCTCACGCTTGAAGCTATCGATGTCCTCTGCACGAGTGCTGATGTCGATCAAGTTGTCCACATATATGCCGACGATGAGCTCCTCCTTCCCCCGTCGCCGCGTGTAGAGCGCGTGCCCGTTTGCGCACCGTGTGAACCCAAGCTCGCCCAGCGTAGCATCAAGCTTGGCGTTCCATGCTTGTGGGGCCTGCTGTAGCCCGTAGAGCACCTTGCGCAGTCGAAACATCCAGATAGAATATTTGCAACATACGTCTGAAGTCAAATGAAACACTTGAAACATGCGTCTAAAACACTTGCAGAAAAAAACTTGAAAAGTCATTAAAAACATATGAACATCCAGATAAAACGCTTGCAACATATGTATGAAACATATGCAACATTTAAATAAACATACTTACAACATACGTCAGGAAAAACAGATGAAACATTTGGAACAAACATTTGCAACGTACGTGTATAGTCATTGCAATATATGCAATATCCTGATCTACTTTTGCAACGTCCATATGAAACACTTGTAACATACTTCTGAAACACTTGAAACATACACTTGTAACATGCGCTTTTACCTTACCCTAGCAGACAAGTGGGCGGGCGGAGCACTACACAATGGGATCCGGGGCAAGGTCGCGGCGGAGGATGGAGGAGCCGCGACGCCACGAAGGAAGTGGGGCCCGGGATAGAGATGCGCTCAGGGCCCACTGCGCCGGCACGGGAGGAAGGAGGATGGAGAGATGAGGGCGTGAGGGAGGTGGAGAGTGCGGTGTTGTGGAGCAGTGTGGAGAAGAGCTGGGACGGGACACAGAGGAAGGCCGCCGAGAGCGCCGCCTTGGAGGTCGGCGCGGGCATCGAGGCTACGGTGACGAGAAGAACCGCGCAATGAGTGATTGCATCCATTCTGTTTTTAGATGAACCATGAGGGGGAATAGGCCAGGCTGGTCCGCCGGTCTAGGGAGGCACGTTCAGACGGAAGGACGCCCTCATCAGATCCCCTATTTGCTTGGACTTATCAGCCTGACTTATCAGCCATAGTATAATTTTTTTCTCTCACAACAAATTCGCGAACAATACTTTTCAGCCTGGCTTTTCAGCGAAACGAACATGTTATCCTATTCCCTGTATATCAGAGAGTGGAGTGTCACACAAATTTTTGGATTTCCTATTGTTGATTAAAATTTGATCTTATTTCTCGTATGGAGAGTGGTCATGCATATGAATCACCGGTATGTCAAGTGTTGGTGGATATAGATCAGTATGAAAATACATCCATTCCATACCGATCAGGTCTTGCAACACAGTACCGTACTGCCACATGCGTGAGACATCCAGACTGGCGATTTCTTTCCCCATCAGCTCTTGATGACCTGGAGGGTAGTTCATGTTTATCCAAATGGGATGCCATTGCTAGCCACAGTCTAGGTCAATCTACAAATCCTAAAGCAGCCAACAATGGCAGATGATGGTACCGTATATATTTCATACTCTCATGGTGAATTAGTTCATGTTTGTTCAAAACTAGCGGGCTTTAATTTGGAAATAACATGCATGCACATGGAAAAACTGTTATATTATATAAAATTATTAATGTTTATTATAAATATTGATATTTTCTATTTGTAACTCAAGATATTTTAATTTAGTATTTGGTATCGTATATATATATATATATATATATATATATATATATATATATATATATATATATAGAGAGAGAGAGAGAGAGAGAGAGAGAGAGAGAGAACTACAGTTCTACAGCTGGTCATAGAATAACTTATTCTGTGACCACTTTGAGTTACTATGGTTACTATGTTAATTTACGAAACTACAGTAACTCTTTACTAGGTGATTTACTATAATATTATGGTAAATATCATCATGAGTTGTAGTAACATGAGTAGCCAGCAACAAAATAAGTTATTCTATAACCACCTCCATTTACGATAATTTTATATATTAATTTACGATAATGTCAATACATATTTACGATAGTTGGGTTACTATAACACATGAGGATATTTACCATAACGTTATATTAAACCACTTAGTAAGGAGTTACTATAATCTCGTAAATTAACATAATAATTATAGTAACTCAAAGTGGTTACCAGAATAAGTTATTTTATAACCAGGTACAGGGTAGTATATATATATATATATATATATATATATATATATATATTAGCAAAAGTGCCTGTGCATTGTAACGGGAGAGAAAAAATACGTTAGTGGAAAATGAAGACATCAGTGTTTATTCTTTCTATTAAAATTTGAAACTATAATATTGGTAGTAATATAACAATGTCTTGTTAATTGTATATTGAATTAAAACAAAACCTTGGATAATTTTTCACATGTTGTAAGAAGGCGTAGAAATATATCGTAACTTCAATTTTCATACTATCCATGTGTTGGTGGGTTAAATTACGAGTCTTGTGACTTTCTCTGATGCCCCATCAATGCAAAATATGTAATTCTAAAATCGGTTTAAATTCACATAGAGTTAGTTGTTGTCATGTCAATAATTACGATGACGAAGATCTCTCTCCATTTCCACATGGCCGCTCTAGTTGAGGATTGCACTGGTATATATGCACAAACATGTTCAAGCATTGTAACAGACGTTGTGCAACCAAACTTAGCAGTTGATGGGATGAAAGGCTACTGGTCATTGTGCTGGTCGAAAATTTGTTTGCGAAAATTTTGGTTCTTTAATATTAGGTATAGATTAGAAAATATGTTCGTGATCTTGATTTCGAGAAGCAATGCACGTGAACCAATGTATATATATCGTCTGCTAATACACGACCAATTAGTGTTTGGACAGAAAGTTTTTCCGTCATTCCATCTTAAGTATCAAATTCTATATCATATCCGGACACGTTGCTTAACTTATATATAAGCACTGCATAGAGCGATGACACAGTAGAAATGTTTTCTAGCTACTTTAAGAATGTGTAAAGATACGTGTGTTCAATGTCATCGGCATGCAAATGCTGAACTTGAGCTCGGAAGGCCCACGCTGGTCCACGCATGCTGCTTGTCCATAGAGTTTTTGGTGGTGCTGTTTGTCGGTGCAAGCGCTCAAGTATGAATGCAAGCAGGCTTGCCCAAGCTAGCTGCCACTGTGGACATGACGAATGTGAGGTGGCATGGTAGTGGTAGAAGATGATGGTGCAAGAAAGATGGCTCGCTACATGCTAAGACCCATACTCAAGCCACCCTTTACTGAAACAACCAAACAATCTCGCCATTGTTGCCAAGATGCACATGGAGGAAGGTGTGAGCTCAAGAAAGAGGCAGAGAATACGTGGGGTCTAACATATTGGGTCTATATCAACATAAAGTCAGCATGCCACGTCAACACATGGAGCAAATTAGAGCCTGTGAACCAATGTTGACGCCTATGACAAGTTTAGGGACATAAATGTCACTAATGTACATGTCAAGAAATGAATTATCAAAATTCGAGAGTTAGGAACACTAATGACACCGCAATATAAATTCCGAGACTCAAATATAAAAAATCGAGAGTTGGGGATCCAAGAACACAAGCCCAAGAACACAAGCACAGCCGTACATGTTTAGGGGCCAAGATTTACTCTTGATATCAAGATAGGCGCTAGATCATATAGTTTTTAGGATATCAAGTGTCCAATATAATGACCATTGGGATTCTAGATTCAGATGGCCATTACACGTGTGTGAACAGAGAAAAAGCAGCCGTCACTTGATTCATGAATAGCATCTCCTATAGTTTTATGATTCAAATTTTGTCACATAAGACCTACATTTATACGTGCTGTGTCCCCTATGGCTTCCATGCCAACAGGTACGATAGACACTGCGAAGAAAACTAAAACTAACACCAACAAATCGAATGCTTCCCGATCCCGTGACGCGTGCTAGCTGTCGACCTCCGACGACCTCTGGACATGGACGTTGACGACGACGGAGTTGAAGGAGGTCCAGTACGCGTCCGGCACGAACAGGAACCCGTCAGTAGGGTGTTGCCCCGCCCAGCTGCGCATGCAGGGCACGGAGCATGCAGACAGCGAGAGCACGCCGAGTTGGCCGGCGCCGCCCACCTCCAGCTTGTACTCCAGCAACTGGTCGGCCGCGGGGCGCTGGCCGAGGCAGACCACCGACAGCGACTGACCCGAGCGAATGTCCCCGCCGTTGAGCAGCATGAACACGCGCCGGTCCACCGAGTCCAGGAGCACCATGAACGGCCTGCTCCGGCGCAGCCACACCCACCACGAGGACCCGGCGAAGCTGACAACATAGTCTATGGTGTGCGCGTCGTGGATGTGGTCGTAGAGGAGCAGCCCCGAGTAGGCGCACCCATGGAGCGGGCACGCGAACGGCGCGTGCAGGCAGAGCAACGCCTCGTGGTCCCGCCTCTCAGTGTGCTTGAGCAGCTGCGTGCACCCGTGGCTCCTGAACGAGCAGGGGAAGGCCATGCCGGCGATGACGTTCTCCAGCGCCCGGCACCGGATGTCGCCGACGGGCTCGCGGCAGGACGGGCAAGTCCCGTGGATGTGAACGCGGCAGACATCGCACACAACGTGCCCGTTCTTGCACTGGCCAACAACAAACGCACGACGGATGACTAATTTTGCAAAGTGAATGAAAGATTGGCTGGAAGATGTGAGCTGCATGCTTGCTTGCCTGGAAGATGGATCCTTGGAACAGGGAGAGGCAGATGGGGCACTGAAACGCGTCTAGTTCCAGATCCATTGCTAGGCCCCTAGCTAGTGCTTTGGCTTCCATCTGCTGTGACGGAGGAGGAGGAGGAGGAGGCGAGGTCCTCCGGCCGGGACGTCGTCCGTCTGGCCGCTGGCGCGCAGCCGAGAGAAAGATCGATCGGCTTCACCTCTACCTCCGGGAGCTTCTTCTCCTGCACCTGACCCGGGCGAGTTGCCGGTGTCGGTTTGGGGGAAGATACCGGCGGCGAGTCGCCCCGGAGAACGCAGGTGGGGTCACCCGTCTTCACCGAACGGTGGTGTCGGACGCTTGAATCAGCTCCTTCCTTGCCCTTATTGATCAATAGAATCTGTACGTACTGTTCTTTTGGTTAATCTGTAGGTAATATATTTGAAGAAATTTGCTGTTGCTCATCCAATGTATAAAAATTCAGGCATGGGATGGTGAATCGAGCAGCAAGAGTAACAAAAGAAAAGATGCATACACTCATCCAACGTAAATGAGATGAGAATTTGTGTACCTGTGTGAGCCGGAAGAGCCTAATGAAGCACAAACTCTGCAGAGATTCCCTTGTTGGCAAATCGTCGAGCACCTTTGGAGCTACAGCGCAATCGCGAAATCATGAAACCTGAAAACTAATGAAGCACAAACTCTGCAGAGATTCCCTTGTTGGTAAATCGTCGAGCAACTTTAGAGCTATAGCGCAATCGCGAGCATGAAGCATGACAATTGCAAATATTAACCTGATAGGATCATAGGAGAAAGTAGGAGACGCAAAAAATTAGAACGGACACTTGCCTGGCCACTTGCCTGAATGGAGGGTGGTGGCAGAGATGAGAACGTGAGGATTTTAACGCGAAGGCAGTGGCGGCGGATGCAGCAGTTTCTTCCGCATCTTACAATTGGATCGCATAAATGCCGGCATCATGCTATTGGATCGGATGAATGCCGCAGTCCGTTGCAGGAGCATTTGTGGGTCAGGTAAGTGGAAGGAATGGTGGGTCAGGTAAGTAGGAAAGGAGAAGAGGGAGAGGCAGGCGAGTTGGGCGATGGTGTTCTCGGCGGGATTTTCTGTGCCGCCGGGAAGGAGAATAGGCACGAGTTCCTGCTGGGAAGGAGGAAAGACCGATCGATGGTGTTATGTTGACGTGGACCGATGGTGACGCGACTTCCTGCAGAAAAATATGGTAGTGTCTCCCATTTATTAGATATAGGAGATAGGAGATATTGTACATCTTGGCGACAATGGGGAGGTAGTTTCAGCGAAGGGTGGCTTGAGCATGGGCATCACCATTCAACGGGTTGCCTTTCTTGCACCATCTTCTATCCCTACCACGCCACCTCGCACGCTGTTGCCTCCTCCATGGGCTTCGACCACTAGATTGTCACATGGCCACCCAATTGGCACCTTCGCTCAAGGCCGCGTTAGCGGACCGCAGTGGCAGGCACCTTCACCGGATTTGGAACTGAGGGAAGCCATCGCTAGAGGGTAGTGGAGAAGTAGGAGGCTTGATAGCGGGAAGAGTGTTGCTGACATGTGGGTTCTGTTTGTCGTGTTGATGTCAATACATAATCAACATGCCACATCAGTGACAGAGTGAGTCAAAGTCTATTTGGACCAATGCTAACACCCGGGACAAGTTTAGGATCTTGATGACCTCACTTTACAAGTCCGGGTACCCAAATATCAAAATTCAGGAAGTGGGGCCTATATGACACCATTGTACAAGTTCGGTGACTCAAATATCGTGGAAAGTTTGGAACCTAAATAACACTGTTCTACAAATTTAGTGGCTCAAATATCAAAATTCGAGAGTTCAGAACCTAGATGATATCACCGTGCAAGTTTAGAAACCATTCATGAATTTTACTCTAATATCTCGAAGAACCCCCTTAATTTCATCCGTTACTTGAAACCTAGAGGGCATCATATGTAATAAACTTGATTTGGAGTATTAATGTGAAACCAGAAATCACATCGACACTAGAAAAAAATATAAATAAAAAACAAAAAATATATTTAAAAACGTAAACTAATATCAATGATGATAAATAGTGGATCTAACTTGCTTCTAATTTTTTCGCAAAAAAAAACCTTGCTTCTAAATTTTCCACCTTTGCTTTTATGAAAACAACATAAACTAATCCTCTAAATATATACATCTAAATTATCAATCACCCATTATCAAGGAAATCTAAATTAACCCTCTAAATTTCAATCTAAATTACCACTTTTATTGTTATATACTCCCTCCGGTCCATTTATCTGGCGCAAGTTAGAGTGACATGGTCTCCTAGATTACACTTTGATCATTCGTTTGTTTTATATTATATTATTTATGCTTATAAACTTATAATAATAATTGGATACTATAATTCCTTACAAATCTAATCATATAAAGTTTGTATTATAATAGTTAAAAATTATTAGCCTAATTATTGGTCAAAGTTTTTAAAGTTTGAATCTTGATATGCGTGTGCGCCAAATAAAATGGACCGAATGGAGTAAAAGTTATCTAGAGTAGTCGTCTAAATCCAATACTAAAATAAGCTAAATACCCCCTAGATCTACGTTAAATTCCATGGTGCTATTATTATGGAATAAAAACCTAGGAAATACCTATATATATGAATCAATATTAATAATATATAAAAAATACAATTCAAAGTAAGATCCATGTTATGTGCAATCATGCAGACCAATATCCATAAATGCATGAGTGATAAGTATATATATTTTCATAGCTTAGTAATCATCAGAAAACGTTTCTTGACTCTTTGGGAGAAAACGTTGTTGTCTAGTGTGTCAACATTTTTAGATAATGAAAAAGCAATTGTAGCTTCAACATATTGTGTCTTGGAAAAAGCATCACCTCAAGCTATTACAAAATACTATTAGCCCAGTTTTCGAAATCCATGTATTAGAAACAATGTATACTAGTTTTATCCTATGAAACACATTTTATCCCATAAAATTTTGGGCACGCACTGCCTACCCAGCCCGGCCAGCTACCCAGTAGTACTACATCTGTACATGTACAGCCTCGCCACGACTTGCTCGTATACGATCAGAGATTATAAATTAAAATAGTATTTTTCTCTCACACCAAACCAACCAATAATAAATAATCCACGATTATTTATGACGAAACAACGAAACGAACAGTCCTACTGCCCTCCTCCCCCGCGCCTAACGCTTTTGCTACTCCTGCTGCTAAGGGTAGAAGTACAGTAGTAGCCCAGCAGTAGCGCACAATAGCAGTGGATGGAGACATGCAGTCAGGCTACGTACCGGTGGAGCCGAGCGGCGGTGCCATCGAGATACGGGTCACGTCAATCTCACCTAGGATTCCCTGCTGTGCATAACTAGGCACCTCAAAGTCAAGATATATGGCGTCGAGACGTGTTACCTCGACACCGGTACTCATGGCGCTGACCTCTAGAATATAAAGATGAGTATAAGTCTTCGAGAGAAACACACGTAAATTTTCTTAAAAAAAGATTATATTGTAAAAAAATTGGGCAGGCACTAGAGCCCAACAGCTGATAGCCTGTTCGTTTGGCTGTGGCTTGTCGTAAATGATCGTAAATTTTCAGCTGGAACAGTATTTTTCTCTCACACAAATCAGCCAGCAATACTTCTTCACGAACCAGCAACGATACGAACTTACCAACCGAACAGGCTGTGAATCCAGTCCATTTGTGTGATTCTGGCTCCTTGGCTTCGCTTCTCTTCGTCTTCCGGCTCAGTATAAATCGCCCAACCAGTCTCACTGTAAATCCCCAAAAATCGGCCTGAGGTTTTTCACAAGTATCAGTGCAGGTAAGCAGCTTTCCAAATTCCAATCTTCTTCGATAACGATTGTTTCTTGCTGATACTGATCGAACAACCTTGTAGTTACCTCATTCTAGGTGATAAAAGATGACTGGGAAACAGACCATGGCCTCCTCTGCTGCTGGCACTGCAAGTGCAAAGAAGCCGAGGACGACGAGGAAAGCGACCAAGGCCAAGGACGTGCCGGTGGTGGTGGCGTTGGAGGACGAGGAAGAGGAACAGGCAGCTCTGACTCTATCCGTGGAGAAGGACACGCTGGACTGCGACATCTGCTGCTTACCCTTCCAGTCTCAAGTTTTCATGGCAAGTTCAAATTACCTTGCATGTACATCTGTTCTTATTCGTTATCATCACATACTCACAATTTATACTTGCGCACGTTTTCTTCTTTATACCATGCATACCAGTGCAAGAACGGGCATTCTGGGTGTGCCAACTGTTGCCTTCGCACGAATGGCAAGTGCTGGACCTGCCCCGAGCCCATCGGCGACATCCGCTGCCGGCCGCTCGAGAAGCTCCTGGCGGCGGCGACCACTTCCTGCAAGTTCAAGAAGAACGGCTGCTACAAGGCCGTCAGGCTCACGGAGAAGCTGAGGCACGAGGAGACGTGCCCGCGCGCGCTGTACGACTGCCCCGTCGACGGCTGCACCTACAGCGGCCTGCGGCTCTGCCACCACGTCGCGCAGGACCACTTCGGCCCCGACGGCTTCGCCGCCATCAGCGGCCTCCGAGGAACCGCGGTGACCGTGCACAGGGACGCGCCGTACCGCGTGCTGCTGCAGCGCGACAGGGAGCGCGTGTTCCCGCTGCTCAACGGGCGCGACCTCCTGCAGGGGCGCTCGCTGTCCCTGCTCTGCCTCGGCCCGCGCCCCTAGGGCGGCGTGGAGCTGGAGTACAACATGGAGGTGGGCGGCGCACCGGGCAGCGAGCTCTCGCTGTCGGCGTCGGGCACCGTGCCGTGCGCCCGGCGGCTCGAGGGGTTCCAGGCCAAGGGGTTTCTCTTCGTACCGGATGCGTACTGGGGCTCCTCCGGCACCGTCTCCGTCAGAGTTCGTGTCTGACGTCGCCCCATTGTTGGTGGACAATAATTCCCTAGTGGTCAGTTGTTCGTCCTGTCGT